TTGCATTTTGCAGGGAAGCACTTATTCCACTGAGCCATCTCCCTGCCCCCCCCCTTTTTTTCTACTGTGGTTTTAAAGTGTACATGGGCCAGGGTTTGATCTGTGGTGTGCCCTGCTGGTCCTGCCCCCAGGGCACGCTGAGATGGCAGTTGACAGGGTATGGTGACGCATGCCTGCAATCCCAGTACTTGGAGGGCTGAAAATAGGAGAATCACTATGAGTCTAACCTCCATAGTGAGACCCTGTAGACCCCGTATTAAATACATAATAAATAAATAAATAAAGTGCACATGATTTTGGACATGCTTATTGATGTCACAGGACCAGACAGTGAAGATGGGAAATGGAATTGTCCCTGAGTGAGATACTGATCTAGATCTGCAAAGTACACTTTTTATGCAAAATAGGAAAATATTTACATACTCATCAAAACCATGTGCTGATAGGTAATTTTTATTCCATAAACTCATATATTCCCAAATTCAAGAGAAAAGATGGTAAAGTATTTTTATCCATCAAAAATAATAAACAGACAGATTATATTACTCCCATGCATCAATAAGGGTCCGAATGTTTGGATTTTAATCTTTTTCTTTTCTCTAGGAATTTTCTAAATGATCTCATGACTATCTGCAACAGTTGTGGAGTGTTTGACTCGGGTATATTCATGAACAAGCTGACATGCTCTTTTGTTCTCACAAATTATTTTTTTTCTGTTTCTTCTTAAACTTTTATTCTTATTAGCACACCTTTGCAGCACATAAACATTACTTTCATTATGTGGTATTGGTACATGTTTATAACACAGCTTAATTCGAAGTACTTAGAACTTGGAATTAGTACAGTGGGCCCTTGAGTTATGGCCAGACCTGACTTAAGAGCAACAAGACAAGGATGCCCATTGTCTCCACTCCTATTCAACATAGTTCTGGAAACACTAGCCAGAGCAACTGGACAAGAGAGAGAAAGAAAAGGAATAAGGACTGGATTTTTTTTTCTGGAACTGGGGATTGAACTCAGGCCCTTGTGCTTGCCAGGGAAGCACTTATTCCACTGAGAATCTCCTCATGATTTTTTTTTTTTGTGTGTGTGTGTGTGGAACTGGGGATTGAACTCAGGCCCTTGTGCTTGCCAGGGAAGCACTTATTCCACTGAGAATCTCCTCATGATTTTTTTTTTTTGTGTGTGTGTGTGTGGAACTGGGGATTGAACTCAGGAGCTTATGCTTGGCAGGGAAGTGCTTTATCTACTGAGCCATCTCCCCAGATCCTAGGATTGGAAAAGAAGAAGTGAAATTGTCATCATTTGCAGATGATATGATACTCTTCATAGAGGATCCCAAAAACTCCAGCAAGAGTCTTGCAGATTTAATCACCAAATTCAGCAACGTAGCAGGATACAAGTCAACATTCAAAAATCAGTAGTGTTTTTGTACACAAAGAACGAACACACTGAGAGAGAAATTAGGGAAACTGCACCTTTCACAATAACATCCAGAAAGAAAGAAAGAAAGAAAGAAAGAAAGAAAGAAAGAAAGAAAGAAAGAAAGAAAGAAAGAAAAAAAAGAAAGAAGAAATAAAGAAAAGAAAAGAAACGAGTTAGGACTAGAATTTTAGTTTTAACTTATGACCAAAGTCTTGCGTTATGACCCAAATGCTGGCTGCTTGTGCTTCCGGATGGTCTCAGATACAGATTTGAAGAGTTTTCTGGAAGGAACATTACAACGTTTCCTGTACAGGTTTAACTGAGAAATCCTGAGCCAGTGTCTCTCCAAGGACACTGAAATCTGCTGGCATATACGAGAGAGACTTTGAAGGCTGTGTGGACAAGCCTGAGACTTCAGTTGACAACTTGAGTTGCAGCCAACCCTTGGGGAATGAAATGAGTTTGTAAATCAAGGGTCCATTGCATTTGATGGATTATAACCCATCAGCAGAACAGAGAATTGAAGGAGAAGGAAAACAGTATAGAAAATGCCACGAGGGTTGAAGAAGCTACGAAAGCATTATCAAACTGAACAGTTTATAATAGTGGGTGGGTTCTAGTCAGCAAAGTGGGGTAGCACAAAATACAAATATCGTTTAGATTTTATCTTCATTGGGAAGTTATTTATTCTTTATTCAAGAATCATTTATGTCCTGTAGCTTTTCCTCAAGGAACCTTCAATAAATTGGAAGAGTTGACCATTCAACAGGAAAATGCAACAAGTTCAGTAATTTAGGGCTGACTGCATGGTTTCCTGACAAGAGCAGGTTGTAGCACTCTAAAATAGAGTTTCCAAGCAAACCTTGAATGACTAGTAGAGAAAGAGGGGGGACAGCCTAGAGAAACAGGGGATCATTCAGATTTCAATCATTGGCTTATTCGCTTCCTAGATGATCAGATCCAAAGGTTCAAAATACCATCCACTTATTTCTAACTCTTCCATTTGAAAGTATAATGAGCAACATGAGTTAAAAATGTCAGAAAACAAAGTTATATTCTCCCCAACCAATCTATTTTTGTTGTCACCTTTTCCATCTTGAGAAAAATAAAACAAGGCAAAACAAACAGAAGTCAGTTCATGGCTCAGCCCCTCATCTCCTCTTTATCTGTAAACTGTCTCTCAGAATATTTTTTTAAGAAGCTGAAAGTCAAATTCAGATCTGGGGTCAAGTCTGTGGAAGTGTAGAGAGTGACAGACATTCTGTACTCTTTTGGACAATGCAAACTCTATGCCAACAAGTTCTTCCCTTCTCTTAGTCACCAGAAACTTAGAAAGATTCTCTCCTTGACCAAACTTTGCCCAGGCCCCTGTGCACCCTCTTGTCAACTCAGCTTTGATCCAGAGCT